CTATTGAACATAGGCACAATTTAATAAGTAATATGCAATATATATTTGTATTTTATATTATACTATAGCAAATATCAAGTTAGTCATTCATAAACATGAAAATAAGAATAAGAAAAATAATACCTGAATTTGTTTGGATATTTTTGTTTAGACACCAAAAAATGCACGCAGATGCGCTTTAAACTAATTTTGCGATAGATCATCGGTGAATAAATCATAAGCATGACAGTACAAACTTCAGGCTAGCAGCTGAGCTCTGTCTAGGCTTACTTTGATTTTAGAGACATGTTGATCATCAATGTACGGTGGAGGCAGTTAGCGATGGACTAAGCGTTATGGATTTTAGAATCATCTATGCAGCTCATACGCCACTGATTATATTAAGCTATTAGTGCATGCTTCAAACAGGATTAGCAAAGTAATATTGATACACTATTTCGTTGTATATTTAAAATAATCATCAACAATTCCAAATAATGATGTTCTAATGCTATTACATCACTCCATAACATGGCTTCAACATTTTTATCTGACATCACGTCCCTTACAAGCCTGAACGGAGCTTGAGGTCATCAGAGGTTCTTTTCAGGCCTATACCATCACGGCCTTCAACAAAATACTACGGACAACGCACTTTTTTTATGGTCAGCAGCCGTTCTTCGGAACGCAATATGTAACTCATTAAACTGTTTAACGTGAATATCTCTTTTATTTATTAAAATCTCAATTTTTTTATATTGTTAGGCGCTTAGAGGCGCCCAGCATTTTGCGCTATATCAAGTTTGAAATTTATTTTTATTTTTATATTAATAAAATATTGAATCGATATGACCACCGGGAACAAATTAAATTAAAACTTGTTTGTTTCATCAACGAATTAATTTAAATCGGAACATGTGTGTTTCTCAGCGACTTATCTGTCTTAGCATCGTGGGAAAAATACAAAAACAACAAATGGCTAACTATGCAGTGAACAAAATTAATTTGAAAACTCGGACTTAGGCTATTTACTTTGCCGAGGAATAGGCTTAGATCAATTAAAATTTTCAGGTCAATATCAGCTTATCAATAAAAGAAAATTCACCTGTTTCAATAAAATTTATATTTGTTTATTTTAATTCAATGTTTACAATGAATTAATTGCATACAAATGCATTTTGATTTATCGTTGCTCTTTACAGAATCTCAAACGCACACCCCATCTACATGGAACATCTTCACAATAAAAAAAAATCAGAAATTACGAAGTTGGTCGACACTTTTTGCCAATTAGGAGGTTAATATAGTATAATACTGTAATAAAATAATTATATAGTACTTATTATTTATTCATCTGTTAGTTCGTCTGTCCGTCCGTTCATTCGTTCGTCTCCGCTAGGAGATACATGTTTTCAGTCGTGTAAGTGTTTGTGCGTGTGTGACACGTTTTGGTATTTTCGCGTGGTTATGTTGTGTGTGAAATATCTAAAATATGGCTGCACAGACATAATTGAAAATAACAGGGAGTATTAGGTATAACCCAATGAAGAAATTATTACATTTTGGTGACGGTCCGGAGTAGGGTGTTGATGTGAGGGCCATCTAAAGGGATTTAGTATTAAAAGGCAAAGACTAGATATTTCAAAAATTAATCAACTAATATGAATACATTTTTTGTGGAAAATTAAAAAGTTACAAGATAAAAATTATCAAATGTTAGTCACAATCCAAATTTGGGGCTGAACTTGAGGGTCATTTTAATTTCTAATGTCCAGCGTGTTTCTTGTGTTAAAACATCTCAAAAACAGCTACACAGCTCTAAATGCCAATTACTGAGATTGGTATGACCCAAGAATGATGTGATTAAATGTTGGTGGCCATTAATAATAATAATAATAATAATAATAATAATAATAATAATAATAATAATAATAATATTATTATTATTAATAATAATAATAATAATAATAATAATAATAATAATAATGATAGTTGGATTTGTATAGTGCATCATGCGAAAAAGCCTCTATGCGCTTGGTGATTGAGCTCTTGAGTTTGACATTTTGAAAAAAGTTGATGTTAATTTTATAAAAATCTAAAAAAAGTTTTGAAATACATGTAATGCTTGCCTTTAAAAGTGCCGTGTTCACATTAATCAAGGGATTTTTGGCTCCTTTGTGGATTAAACACGAATTTTTGTTTTTAAAAAAATAGGTTGTTTCGGGCTGTGGGGCAATACAAATCTCTTCTTGGTGTATTACCATTAAAAATATTTCATGTTATTTGCATCTTCAGATACTAAATAAATAACAAGTGAAAAGTATAATAATATTATAACGAATTATTATACTATTATTATAACTACTAGAGAAGAAGGTTAACTAAATTACTGATTTTAAAAAATCAATAAATACTCCTGTGAAAAGCCGAGCTAAATTAGCTACACTCATAAGTTATTATTGGTATAAGGCTTACCAATAGTAATGTATTATAAAATATTTTCAATATTATTATAGCCAACATTTTCCTATTGTGAAAATAAATTTGTAATGCTCTTTAATATATAGAGACATTCTCCTTCTGAGATTTAAAGAACGTAATCAATGTCATTTTAAATGTTATTCCAGTAATAGTTGACATACAATAAAACACACTTTAAATATATTTTAGAGAAATAACTTTACAATACTGTACATGTTTCTTTTTAGACAAGTGCACAATATTTAAAGTGAACTTTAGTCTATCAATTTGAATTTTTTCTACCCGTAATATAAAAGTGGATGAAGCACATTAAAATGGTAGTCTGAACATAGGGGAATAGGCTGTTAGCCCATTGCACTAAGCTTTGCCATTATGTGGTAGGGTGGGCAGTTCCTTTCCACGGACGCCGCCTTTTTCTTCCCCAGTAGTGAACCACCGGTACCCATACTCCTGAGTGGAGAGACACAAGCATGGGTAAAGTGCCTTGTCCAGGAACACAAGGGAAATTCAAAGCGACGGTTCGAACTCCCGACCTCGAGGTTGGGAAGACCGAAAAGCAACCGCTGCGCCTCCGCTTCCAATTGTTGCCATACAATAAAACACACTTTCGTTGTATTTTAGAGAAATGATTTTACAGTACATTAACTTTAGCCTATTACTTGGAACTGTTTCCTACCAGTAGGCTACACTCAATATAAAAGGGGATGAAACCCATTAATGGTCAGTAAATATGTCTAGAAATGTTTGTTTGGTTGTGTTCTTTTCAGTTAGGGTTATTATGTAATACCATAGAGAAAGAATCTACGGTAATACACGATTTGTGATTTAGGTAACAGTTGGTAAGTTAAATTGGCACTCCGGAAAAGTTTATTGAATTTTGTGATGTAATATAATTTATTTGAAAATGCATGAAATAAATGGAATGAATTCTAACATTATTTTTCAAGGAGGTGGTGCGATTTATATCCACCTAAGAAATTTGATATATAAATAAATCACGTTATACCTTTCGTATCAATGATAACATCAAAATCATTGCCTGGTTGGTTAAGTATCACAGGTCCAATAGCAATCGGAATCGTATCAGGTAGTTTGTTTGGTGCAGAGACATCTCGGCGCCCACGTCGCTGGCAGTCCCTACGACATTGCACTTCACTCCCATTGCAAACAGATAAGTGGCAATGTACAAATACCTTAGAGAATTTTTTTTTAATTAATAAACAAATCCATTATGTTTAAATGACATAATAATTACAAAATTGGAATGACTCGGCCATTGTTTGAAACTTCCAGTCTCCTTTAGTACTTGTTAATCGAAGGCAGTGTTGACTCCACGGAGGAATATCCATGATCATTGTCACATATTATGGTGTTAACTTTAATAGAGGCATTGTTTTATACTACTTGATATGAATGTTCATTTTACTTATTACTACGTTACGGTACCAGATTTCATTTTCTTTCGTAACTTTTAAAACTACAGATAGCAACCAGTTGTATCCAATTATTATGCAAATGATTACTGCACACGTGGCATTATAATATAGGCCTAGGAAAAGGGCCATAGTTTTGGCTGCCCAGGTCTAAAAGAGACCGCTTAAATAATGTTTGGAAGCATTGAGATTTATTTTTTAGCAGCTCAACTGTAGTAATTAAAAGTTGCATACGTCAAATTTGCCCACGAATCCATAAAAAGTCTTGATTGAAAGCAAGTATACTTTAGGCCTGTTATCATTTATTTATACTTTACGTTAATATATCAATGTACCGTACACATAAAAGGTATTTTAGGACTATTTTCTTAACCATTAAGAGGGATGCATTAGCAAGTTTATTATGCTTGCTTTATAGGTATCCTCGAATCCTCTCCTGTGCTAAAGTGAGATGATAAAATACTGATGGTGAGGTATTGATAGTCACCTAGTCGAGGAGTGACCATAGACAATTAAAACTGAATAAAAAGTTTTCGAGGTCCAACTTGACGGTGTTCTGTTTTATATATTTATAGAGGCACCATCTGACAGTCATACCGTGTTTATTCAAATTACACTAGGACGTTTGTTGTCTGGGAAATTTTTGAGAGGGCGATAGGGAGGCATCTATTTTTAGCTGTAAATTCGATACAATTCAATTCAAGGATTTTATTCAACAACAACATACAAAATAAATTTCATTGTAGCTAATTATTATTATTATCATTATCATCATAATTATTATTGTTATTCATGTTATGATAATTACTGTGTTCTTGATGACCCCAGAGATGTCACTATTTGCCCTTTAACAAAGTTACGGTATACATCTGGGGCGGGGGGGGGGGGGGGGGGGGGGGGGGGGGTTTCAGAGGGTGCGATCGCACCAACCCCCTCCCCCTAAATTGTATTAAGAAAAATAATTGTTGTATTATATTGTTGATATGAATTATTGGTAAGAATTTTAATGTACATGAGAGTGCAATTTCGGGGCACCCTGGTGTACATATTCTCAAAATGTTTGCACCTCAGATCAGCCCCAACGTGTATGGGCTGAGGTGATGGACTCTCACGTACCCATGGATGCAGATCATGGGGAAGGGGTAAATGTCCAGGGGTAACGGTCCGACACCAATCATGTGTAAACAGTAACATTGAAACTGAGAATAAAGTGATGTTAAAGTAGAGCTTGGAGGTTTTTGGAAGCTCACTAGAAACGTCGAAGTTTGGGTACGGCCCTCGCTGTTAAATCAAAAATTCACTTTGGCCCTCCGACCGATTTTTATGCCCACCCCTGCTATATAATATATAATGTTCTAAAATCTACATCTTATTTCTGATGAGCACCGAAGTCAGGCAGAACTGAGCCACATACAATATTGACAATGTGAGGTTATGCTCTCGGAAGGACAAACACACACAGACACATAGACACACAGACGGAGCTCATTACAATAACCTCTTCCCCATTTTGTGGGGTGGGGGGGGGGCTAGGGTAACAAATGGCTTACCATCAAGTGAAGAAAATTAATTTAAAAACTCGCAACTAAACTTTGTGTTGAGTCGGTTTAATAGGCTTAAATCATTTAACATTTTCTGTTCAATATCAGCTTATCACTAAAAGAAAATTCACCTGTTTCACTACAATACAGTAAATATCATGATTATTTGAAAGTAATGTTTTCAATGATTAACTGGCATACAGCTGCTTTCATATTTATCAGTGTTTTTCACATAATTTTTTGATCTCCAACGCAGCACCCTCTCTAATGGAACATCTTGACAAAATATGAACAAATTCAGAAATTACGAATTGGTTTGAGGTTTTTGGCCAAATAAATAGTTGCCTTACACGAGAATAGTGTATACTGTAATAAAATGATTATATTTGTATTATTATTATTATTATTATTATTATTATTATTATTATTATTATTATTATCAACATTTTTTTATATTTATCTATTTCTTAGTAACCAGGGACGTGTGGATAATAATAGGTCCTTCTGTTCAAATTGTTAATCCTGTCGTCGGGAGTTCGAACCACACGCTGACCATGCTCAACTATACATGAAACAAAGAAAACAAAACTAATCGAAATAAACTTGCGAACAATTCCTTTTCAATATTGTTTTCATTCGATAAAGTCAAACTTCAAAACACGGCATAACTAAAATAATCACTGAAGCTATTAATCGAAACACAATTATGCAAGGTAAGTGGCAGTTAGGCCTAAAATAATAAAAATTTCAAAATTCTTAATTCAGTAATGTAGTTATCCAGCTATCAATTACATCGGCTACACACTACAAGCATGCAAAATCATAAAATAAATGTGTTAACTAAGAAACGAAGTTTCATAATGTAGCTTAAGGGGTTTCCCAGTTTCATTCACATCATCTCGTCAACGTTTGTTTCCAGTTTCTGGTACGAATTCCTGTTGTTTGCTCGGCTCTTGATCCAAAGGACACACGCTACAGCCAGCATCACAAGACAAACAGCAAACAACAATGTTGTAGACAATGCTGGAAATATTCCTCCTGAAGTCGAATCTATAAATTGATTGAATGATGGGTGTTAATTGCATTGCCAAATCAAACAGGCAACAGGAATCAGAGTCAGTCTGTCAGCATGTTTTTTTAAACTACTGTATACGAAAATATAGTATAGGGCCTACATGGGCTTACTAACTCTTAGCCCATTCATTTTGCTGCGACAATGGGAATCAGTGGGCTAAATCCGTCGGTTAAATTTTGAAATACATAGATAAAGTTTGAAAAGTGCCGTGTTTACATTATCGATTATTCTTGGGCGTATTAACATAAAAAAAACTTCATGTTATTGACATCATCAAATATTAAACAAATAACAAGTGAAAAATGCATACAACAGAAGCAAGCAAATTGAAATAAGAATTATTTAACTAGTAGAAAGATGTCGTCAAAAGCGTCAACTATAGATTTAAGAAAATGAATAAAAAACCCCCTGTGAAAAGTCGATAAAATTAGCTTATCTCATAAGTTATTCATAGTATACACACATTTTATTTTTTTCATATCAAACAGCAAGTATAATAGTAGTTTACTATAAAATATTTTCAATAAAATTATAGCCAATACTTTCCATTTGTAGAAATAAACTTATGCTTATTTGATAATAATTTTTGGTACATTTGTTTTGGTTTTTTTTTTCTCTTGTCGTTAAGCGCCTCGAGGTAAGGCGCTATATAAATCCAAAATTATTATTATTACTATTATTATTATTATTATTATTATTATTATTATTATTATTATTATTATTAATATTATTATTATTACTATTATTATTACTATTATTATTATTACTATTATTATTATTATTACTATTATTATTATTATTATTACTATTACTATTATTATTATTATTACGGTAGGTATTTCCTCTTATACAAGTGTACAATTTATAAAGACTTGGCATAGGAACTTTAGGGTATTACTTGGTACTTTGTGCTAACTGTATGCCTACACTAAATATAAAAGAGGATGAAACACAATAATGGTGAGTTTGGTTTTTTTTTACGAAGGTACATCCTGCAGGGTAACAGGAGATGTGTGGACCAGTACATCGCCGGGGTATCCCCCTACTCGTTTCAAAAGATGTAATAGGTATTTTAAGTGCACATAAGTGACTATGTAAAACATTTGCAAACACATGCATTTGCGACAACACGTGTGTTTCCTGATTGGTCAGTTGTTAAATTTGACTGACACTCCGGAAAGATTCATTGACTTGTGATATGATTTAATTTTGTTTTAAAATGCAATAAATAAATTGCAATTTATTCTAAAGTTAGTTTAGGTCGCATCAACGGCACCCCCTTTGATCCACCCTAAGAAATTGAATACACAAATAAATCACGTTGTACCTTTGGTGTCAAGGATAACATCCAAACCGTCGTCTGGTCGCTTTAGTATCACAGGTCCAATAGCAATCGGAATCGTATCAGATAGTTTGTTCGGTGCAGATACATCACGGCGTCCACGTTGCTGGCAGTCCCTACGACATTGCACATCACTCCCATTGCAAACAAATAATTGGCAATGTACAAACACCTTAGAGGAATTTTAAAGTATTAAAAACAAATCTATAATGTTTTAGATGGCGTAAAACATTATAAAGTTGAGTGACTCTGCATTGTTTGAAACTTCTTGTCTCCTTCAGAACTTGTTAACCGAGACAAAGTTTGACTTCCGGATGTCTCCATGATCATTGCTCCATATGGTGTTGACTAATTTTCTTTTATAACTTTTAAAATTACAGAGGGCAACCATTGTTATTCAAATTATTATGCAAATCATTACTGTATACGTGGGGATATAGACTGACTTAGAAAAAGGACCTTAGTTTTGGCTGCCCTAGTCTGAGAGAGAAGACCGCGTAAATAATATTTGGAAAGCATTGAGATTTTTAATTTTTAGCGCATGAAGGGCAGACCAATACCCAGATAGCCAGGTAAAGTAGCAGCAGTGAGTAGTACAAGTAATCATTTTATGTAAAATGACGTTTATTTTCTGGGGGATTTTTGAGAGGGCGAGAGGGAGGCGTCTACTTTTAGTTGTAATTTTGGTACGAATATCATTTCACTGTAAATGTAAAGCACAGCATAAAATTATTGTCAAAATATTTACTGAACAATCACTATTGCTTTATTCCAGGTTAGTAATACAGTACTGTAAATTCAATTCTACTAAAGTTAAGAAATAAAATAGTGTTTAGTTGCTCAGTTGGGACATGTTTAGTGCTTAGTTTATTTCACAAAATAAGGGAGTTTTATTTGAGGGAAAAAACATACGCTCCGAGGTGATTCGAAGACGGTGTTTATTCATATGCGTTTATGACATTTAAGGGGGTAAGGGAGGGGTGGTTGTAAATTCAAAGTGGGCGTATACTCGAATATGGTATATTTATCTCCATACCAAAGTATATCATGGTACAGTACCGTATATGGTATTACCCTTCTATTTACTGTAGCTGCAATTAACTTAGTGGTATTGCCTTTTGGTCAAAGCATTATTTATAATAAAAGTCAAAGAAATAGACTTCTATATATTTTGGAACACTAATGCTAAAATATAGGCCTACCGTTGAATAATCCCTGAAGCCAAAAGTTTCAAATGAAAAGAAGACACGAGATGTTTTGTTGACCGTTGATTGGCCATCGAAATCAACTGTCGAATCTACGCCACAACTGTAGTAAGATAGATAAAATAGTATTTCAGTGTTTGTCGTTTCCAAAACAGATCCAAAAATATTTTAAACAATAAATACATTATAAACCTGTATGACTATCACATTATCTTCAATAAAAGTCTTGTATGTGGATAGTATTATTTGGATAATATCAATCTGTATGAGGCTTGTTTGGATACAAAAAATGTATTTTGCTGTTGATTTTGCACTCTACAATATTGGTTGATTGATCGGTTGTTATTGAATTTCAATCTATAAATGTTACCCGTTTTCAATTAGTTGGTACTGTGGACTTGCGTCTGAGTCAGAGTTAGGAGTCGTCTTACAGGAATCAGCAAACAGGACCATATCGTTGCCGAACGTTTCCACGCTTGCACCAACGAATGCTTTACTACCAAGGTCCAGTTTTACAGGATACTGCCAACTGGAATATGGGGTAGAGTAACTGGCATTGGTATACAGCACCATTGTAAACGTCAAATTTCCACTTTCTCGCTTGAAATAGTCTTCCCCAGCGCCCTCTGGAGCAAAGCCCACAGCGGCTCTCCCTCTATTTTTAACCTCACATTCTACCGTAAAGTGAAGATCCTCCTTCCGGTATATCTCATAGTTTGTGTGCGTAAATATGATTACTTGATTACGGTAGGTTGTTGACCATGTTGTGGACTAAAGAAAAACATATATAATGATTAGTTGGTATTATTAGGCCTATAATAGGCCTACAGTGATTTGGGTAATTTTATGTTTTGAGACAAATAAATTAAGTGAAATGACTATAAAATTGTGGATCAATATGAATACAAGTCTTTGAAGCTTTTGATATCCAAAATTCTGTGGTGTTCATTTATTGTATTTTAAAAAAATTATTATTATTTATTTATTTATTCAGACAGGTGCCCTGGAGCCCCAAAGCAACAAAGTCACTATGACAAAAGTCTGGAGCCCCATCCAGTAAACTGAACTTAACTACATGATATAATATCAAAATATAAGTTTAAAAAGTAAACCAGTGAAAGGTCAAGAGAGATTAAAATTATATAATTATACAGATTTTGTACACAAATTAAACAAATTGATAAAATTTCATAAAAGAATGATAAATATTTCTTATGAGTCGAATCAAAATTGTGTATCGATATTATGAATAGAATCAAAATTGTTTAATCTTGGACTATTCTCTTGATATGGGAATGTTTATTGTTGGCATTGGCACTGTTATCCAGTGAGGTACTAAAATATTTTTTTTCTTAGTAGGCCGTCATTGTAGATATTCAATAAACTTAATTTTATTTAGATTGAATTTGATTTTTGTTCGATTGTATGTGCCTCAGAAATATGTATTCCTATATAATTTTCAATATCACATAACAGAGAGACAACTCTCCTTGTATTATTATAGGCCACACCCTATTACCGGAATAAGCGTAAGAGACCGGTTAGTCTGTACATCCCAACACAGTTCAAAGAGCTTAGTTATGTTCGTATGCTAACCAGAAATATTGAGAGCTTTCTCATTGAGGCTGACTGTCCAAGCAGTTAAAATTACTTCAAACATTTGATTTCCATAGTTATTTACTGACCTCGTCAATTTAAAGCCTTTATAGACTGTCTCGTATCTAGTGCGGACGGATAATTTAATAATACAAATTTTATTCTTATGAAAGATATCAATAGTAATGCTCTCAATAAAATGCATCAGTAGTGCACAGCTAATCTTTTGCCACAATTGTAAATAGGCTTAAAATGATAATTCGAATGCAAGTAATTTTCATTTTACCGTCTGTGTGGTTTGGCATTGGTCATAGCGAGTATATAAATAAATCCACCGACTGTCATTTCGATAAACAATTCCGGCAGCCGTACATGTTGGGTCAAGAAATTGAACGTTATCGTCTTTACTAATTGAAGGATCCAAATACACTGTCATGTACGAATCACTGCAAATGACATCTGCAAAAATATTGTTATACAAGTAAATAACCAGTTAATATTATCATATGTCGCTCTTCTATAGATTGAGCTTTTCATCTTTTACTTACTAAGTTTTGACTTCATGCTTGGTGATGTCGTTCGCCCGTCTAGACAAAAGCAAAATACACACAGTACTTTAGGTGCATTATAAATGTGTAATATCTCTGTGTAGTATAATAAAGTACACAATTTTATAATGTTTAAGGCTATTATTTTAAGAACAAATTCAAATGAACAAAGTATTTAGTCACTATTGTATTTAAATAGTTTATCTCAACGTGATCCGAAACAGACAATTTACGATACCGACAAGTATAAAACGCTAATTTCTAAAGGAGTTATAATATTTGTAAGGCCCTTAAAGGTGGTTTGGCCAGCGGTTTCCATTCTGTTATTGAATTTTTGGTTAAGATTCAAACCATACGTTGACAATTCTCGGCCGGCCATGCTTATATCCCTCAAATTGCATTGCTGACAGGCTGTGAAGTGTTTCAGCCTTGATGCAAGCATATCATGGCATATAAATATAATTTATTTATTTATTTGAAAAATAAGCAAATAACTAGAAGTAATTTTGAGCCTTTTTAAGTTTTGTAGGGTGGGGGGGGGGGGGGGGAAAATGAATAAAAAAGAAAAAAAACACCAAAGACGAAACAAATTGAAAACAGATGTTTTACAAAGGGAGTATACTATTGTTACCTTGTAATGTTGACAAGTTAATATTACTTGTAGGAGGCACAGTTGCATCTGTAAATAATATATTAATGATTAAAATTGTTTAATAATGAAGGTTTATGTTTTAATCACACACATTTTTTGACTGACATGGACACAAACATTTACTCCTAACTAGCCGAGCTAGCCTAACCTAAAAATTGGTAATTAATACTGTATTCACAATTTTAATACCACCGGTACTATTAATAATACTAATAATAGCCTTGGGGGAAACACATTTTACAATTACACAAAATATAATAGTCAGCTTCAGTGTTTCTTAATTTTTACATTGATTTATGAAATAGGAAATATGAATAATTTTTTTGCAATCTCTCATTAGCATAACAGTATAAGTCAAAAAGAACTTTAACAAAAGGGGAGAAAAACATTAAAACTACATCACAAACACACCACATAACACATAAAAAAGTTAATCAATTAAAAATTTATATGACATGCTATACAAGATGTTGTAACTCAAAAAATTAATAATTCTCTTTTCTTCTACTCTCCCCACCCCCACTACGCCCCCACACTCAACCATAGTTTTTATATATTTCAAAATTTGTCAAACACCTATTTTGTGTATAAAAAAATTTTGTGATGAAAATAGTGATAATAACAACAACCATAACATTAATACTAATACTTTGTACTGTACTAATACTAATACTAGTACTAGTACTGGTGATGATGATGAAGATGACGATGTATACAGTATTTTGCATGTTAAAAACAGCTGATTGGTCGTGCCTATTTAAACCTCACCTTGGGTATGTGAGCATTTTCCTTCACTGATATAAACATCATCAATCGCAATAATTGTTTTACTGCTAGTGCTTCCATGGATAACGTACCCCCGAAACCTTATTTTGTTTGAAGAACTGCCGCTGATAAATTGTACACGACCATATTGCCACCCGGTGCCTGAGTAGTACAACACCATCAGGTTATTTTGGCTAGAGCCGATAACATGCCTGACATGCAACTGATTTGCAAGTCCACTCATGTAATAGTAGAATTCAATGCAACCATCACTCCAGGTAGTAGGTAGTGCGGCACTATCAAAATATCCATACGGCTGAGAGTTCCCAGAAGACGACTCAATATACGTATAGTAATCATCTGAATAATTAAAACAATATATATTATATTCCTTTATTCATTTTAAAAGTCAAATAAGATTAATTTTGATCATTGATTTACTATTCATCCTCCACAAGGTATTACTCGTAGTTCAGCTTTTGTAGGCACGCGTTTTTAAATCAGTCGCTGCAGAACTGAATTTTTATTTAAATTATATACTACATGTGCTACTCGCTACCTGGTGAAATTCGTAAGTATAATATATCTGAACATGCTTTTAAAATTTAACTTTTTTTTAATATACACTTCTGAATAATTTTAATGCAGACAATATTTATAGTTGGTCACTCTATTGTAGATTTAGGCCTACTAATTGTAGAATGTAACTTCTTTTTTCTGTTTTAGTTTCATTGATTACCAAATTTTGTATAGGTATTTAGTACCCTTGGTTTCTCTTTACATATTGTTTTAATATGACTTTGTACTGTTATTATGGTTAAAATTTGATAAAATAATAAATAAAAAACAAAATTGATAATAAAATAATACTATTTGAATTTATTATAATGCTTTGTTATCATTAAAAGGTCCATGGTTAAAGTTTATCAGCCTAACAAAAGTGTTACTATGTCTAAATATTAACGTTCTTTAAAAAAAAAAAAGAATTAACAGTAACTAATCAAACACAAAACATAATCAAAATGTTCGTAAAAAAAATACTGATAATACTAAATATAATTCATGTTTAGTATTCTCGAAAGACCATTTTCCATCTCAAGACTATTCTTCGAACGCCTTAATCTCTTAACTTTTAGATCGGGGCTGTGCATTTTTCTTGTTTAATTGGATTTAACAAACAACAAAATGCAAAACAGATAACACCATAAATATTGCACTAACTAAAAAAATGAATAGTTGTGAGTCCAGAGAATAGGGACAGGATCATTTATACCAATTTCACAAATTGTTGATAAAGATTTAACTATTTAAACATTGTCATATGAAATCATCTAAATATTAGGATTTATATACATACATACAGACAAACAAGGAATATGTTCAATGTAGGCTAAATGAATAAAAAAAAAAAACAGCACCAAAAAGCGTGGAAAAGGGATAAACAGCACCGTTAAGCAGCACTTGTAAAAAAGGGAAGTGGAAAGAGACGAGACAGAGCAACAAGGAAACATGAAAACACGCCAACGGAAAAAGTACTACAGTATGTAGGGCCTATGCCAAATGAAAAAAAAAACAGAACCACATAAAGCAAAAAGGTAAAAGAAGGAAGACCAAAGCAAAAGGTAATAATAGTTGAATGTGCATTGGGAAACGGCAAAAATGAAATGGAGGGCCAAAGGAATAAACAGAACCACCAAAAATAAAATAAAAAATGAAAGCAGAAAGTAATGAGACAGAGCAAAACAACAAAGAAACAGGAAATTAAAAAAAAAACATACGCACTTGTGTCTTTAGACAAGGTACTTTACGTATGTTTGTCTCTCTCACCCAAGAGTATACATTGTTACCTGGTTAAAATATAGTGGAGAGGTTAAAAGGGCGGCGTGAAAAAGAACATCACAGAATGCCGAGGCTTAGTACGATGGGTGCCGAGGCTTAGTACGATGGGCTCCTAACTGCTCATCTCCCTACGTTTAGTAATAAATACGGGACTACCTATATTCTCATGGAATTAAAAGGAAATCTGACTGACTTATTTAAAAATCTTAGATATAACAGCCAACTATTAAACCAAATTCTAAATAAATAATGCGACTGTTAAAGCATCGAGAAAGATTAATTTTTTCATGGTAAAATGTAAATCTTTGTCTACCTTTGACAAAAGTAAAGTCTATTATCATAAGAGGAGTTATGATTATTCACAGTAGGCATCGTGTTTATTGCCCATAATCCTAACACACAAGTTGATCCAACATTTTGTATATATAATTATAATATTTTTGTTTTATTAGTAAATGTCAACCTTGTATTAAATGAGGGTGTTGCTTCTTCTTTTAGTCACACTACTCGTGAATTCTGACTGGCGTGATTGATAGTATAACTATCACCACTGTTCCACACAGTTGGTATCCTGTATACATCATCAATTGAACTTGAGAATTACTTGAATGGGGTTGAAACGTCGTTGCTACGCGTCATTTATTTGTTTTAATATATATTAAATGTCCTTTTATTCGTATCATTATCATTACTATTACCATTCTTCCATTTACTACCACTATGATATAAAATTACCATTATCAATATAGTATCAATTATCATCTTCAATATCATTATCATCATCATGACACAGAATCTTCATGACATACTTATGATCATCATCATCATAACATCATCATTATGGTTCATTTTGTAGGAAAACTCTCTCTAAAGCCCACCTCCAATTCAATACTACTTTTCCTTGGCCCAGGATGAACATATCTTTTATGTATATCAATGATTAAGTTCAGTAGATTTTGTCAACAAAATTTCATGCTTAAATCAGGTCATAGGAAACTCGTCTTTTAATAGAGAATGCATCTTTAGCTGGGGTTTAGGTAGAAACTATTCCTTTTATATTAAATTGGCTAGAAAATTGGAAATTATTAAGTATGATTAAATAAGATTAAATGCACACACCTTTAATTTATACATAGACCTATATTATTTGTAATTTTATGATGATTATGTAATTTATATGTAAATGGATGTCACATAGATTGTCCTTAACATGTTTTGATGATTTAAAAAGAGATTATGTTTTTGTTTTCGTTATGGTTTAAATTTATCTTGAGAGTCCTATTGTTTTATAGTCATTTTCCAATATCTACGGCATTAAGTTTAGAAAGAAGCCCCCTCTTTAGTTTGTAAAAGTAATCTCAAAAAGAAGCCCACCTCAAAAAGAAGTCTGATAACCAGAAAAGAAGCCTCTCCAAGGGTCGTAAATAAAAAACAATAGAGCCTCTGGGATTCTTTCGAAGTTTTTAAGGTTTACGGTATCCTAATTAAGACAAAACTACTTCCTTAACGAAGAGACATTCATTATGCTGTTTGGTACTTGTGGAAGGCCATACCACAACAAGGTCAACATAGTCAAATGATACATAAGTAACCAGAACTTAAATAAAAAAAATGACCATCATAATTACTATACTTTACATTACATTATCATTATTTCCGTCACACCCAACATTACGGTAACATTGGCAAGCATGGTTGTATGAGTCGCCATAGGCCAACAGACACAAGTGTTTGTGACAATAGAGAAATTAATTAAAACTCAATTTTAAATAATAATAAACATAATGTGTTAACTCTTCTAATGGTTAAACAAAATAACGTCAAGATTCCAGGATGTTGTGAGCAAATTTTGTATTTGAATGACAACGGTTGGCGCATGCGGTAGTGATTTGGTCTCTCAACACTGTGTTGGGAGTTCAAACGCTGCGCTGTCCATTGGCTTGTGTCCTTTAGGCAAGACACTTTATCCACATTGTCTCTCTGCACCCAGGTGTCTAAAGAGGGTACTTGGTAGGCATTGTGTACTCAGCAGCGGCAGTTGTGGAGTATGTTCCACAGTCATTAATTCCAATGACCGGGGTAAAAATGTGCGGCACATAGATACATATAAGAATAGCTATATAAGAATGCATTTATTACAACGGTTATGGTTAGACATCAGAAGAATGAACTTATCGGTCTCGCATATGGAAGTGATTGTAGGATGATAGTAATTGTTATTGTCGTGATGGAATAATAGACAATAACTGGATTTGCGTCAGGAGAAACATGTATTGGTGTAATTTTGCCCTACCTGACGTGGAAATGTACCGAATACTCAGTACATTTGATTGTAGGATGAATAGTAGAGTTCCAAAATGAGTTATAATAATTGCAGTATTCTATTATAAATATAATTTTTATGTAAATAAAGTTGTCACATATAACATAATAGACTACTTCAAACATACCTGATCCAGAATAACGATTTGTATCATCCCCAGTTAGTTTCCCAGAAGACCGCTTCCACGATTGATGACCAGAACTTGAATATGGATGAGGATTCCACCCACTCCAACCATCATCAAAGTCGGAACAAATTCCATCTAATTTTACCAAATAAAAAAAATAATTAATTTTTGAAAACACGTTTTTTAGCAATTTTAATAACAATTCTTAGAATTAATAATAAATAAAATCATAATAATCTTTGTACTGGAGGACCTACAGCAAACACATTACTATGCCGCCCTCGTGAATCTTACGCATTGTGTACTGTGTTTAATATTTAATGTGCATATGAGCCATGTTGTTGATAGGCTTCTCAGGATCGAATCTTCTAAAAACGATAAGCTGTAACTGTATTATCAAATAGTATTCAGTTTGAAGGTTAGGGGCACCAAAAAAACAATTGTTCAGCAGAACTCTCACTGCCTAAATCCAGTTCTTCGGGATATTCATCAGCATCTTACATTTTTCTCCGAGTGGGGCATTAAAAGCAGAACATGTCAAATTGTATCAACAAAATGCACCCTTGACTTAAAAAACGCCTTACGGACGGGTTCTGGGCTCTCTACCTGGACCCAGCCCCCACAGTAGTTCGGTCCAAAACGTCTCAGCCAGGAGCCCTAGGTCACTTCGTTTCACCACTGCTTGGGATCTGATTTCATTGATTTGATTGCTCGCACACAATTACCCTTACAATTACAATTACGTCGTAAACACGCCCAATGGTAATTTGCAAAGTACCTTCATAAAAATATCAGGCGCAATTACAGCGCCAGGATCTGCCTGGCAGAGGGGCTGAAGACCCCGACAGGAGGAAGAGGGCTAAATTAGTAAATCTGGCCGTTTGGCCGAGGGCCACATGGGACTCCCTGTGGAGGTCAAGTTGGTGAAGTCCCCGAAAGCTACGAATATTGGTCAAATTTTTTTTTTTTTTAATAAGTATCAATCAATAAGCTTAAATGTAGTCAGTTGAGGAGATTACATATTTTTAAAGAAGGATATACAGTAGCTTTGATTGAACAACTAAGGCTGGGGCCGTAGGCGAGTTCCCTGGAGCTTACACATTCTAGAATATTAGATAACAAAATTCAATAGATTTCTATGGAGGAAATCTGACTAAAATAATGTTGAACAAATTTGAAAAAAAAACAAAAACATTTACAATGAATTAAACTCAGGATAACTAATTATAAAACATAGAAAAAAAAGACCAACCAATTTTTACTTACCTATTTCTTTTAAGTATCTTTTCAGTAGTACTTTCGTAGCATTTTTTCCATGTCATAAAGTTATTTGATATATCATTGTACAGTAGACTTAAACTTAATTGATAGATACATAACATAATAATGATGGTTTGCATATAAAAGGTCATAAAAATAAGCAGAGCTTTAAGACTTACGACTTATATTGATAAAATAATAACAATAAATAGAAAGCGAACCCAAAATTCATTATAACCCTAATAATAATAACAATATAATACCATTCATTATTACATAAAATAAGTAAGATACCGGTATCTGATAATAATGACAATGATGTTAATTATAATAGTGATCCTAGTCAAAATTATTCTTATATTTTACATAATAATACTGAACATAGTGATTAAGTAGGTGAGTGTGGACTTTTATCTTGAATTCACCAATTAACTTGCAGTGTTTTATATGATCAGATATTAACTATTCCAAATTTTGCAGCCCCTGTAAGCTACACCCTTTTGTCCTACATTTATTTTTTTCATAGGTATCTGGTAATTACATTTATTTCTTGTTTCATAGTTATGTATATCCTCCATTTTTAGAAAAAGCTTATCAAATGCAATTGGAAGCTGATTCAATTGTTTTCATACTTAAACTTGAATATCGCGAGTTGTTTATCATATATATCGTAGACAATAAGTGAACTGTTTTGGAATAATAAACCACGTGTATGATGCAACAGTGGTGTATCTACGGGGGATAAATTACTCGCCCCCCCTCCCCAGTGGGCCCCCAAAAAAATCATGGTCAAGTAGTTAAAAATCGCCTAAAATCACCTTATTTTGTTATTCATTTTGATTATGGGTGGCTTTGGGGTATGCGGGTCATTAGGACCTTAGTGGAGTAACGTCCCTACCCCTGTCTCTTATACACATCTAGATGTGTATAAGAGACAGGGATACGCCGTGATGCAAGTAATCTACCTTAGATATAATTCTCATTGCTTTTTTATGAAGCATGTGTATTTTTTGTAGTTCAGTTGGGGAGGCCGATCCCATTCTGTGATTAAATAATTTATGTGGTAAGGCTAAAGCATTATATATTGTTAAATGTTCACTGTAGGGAATAAAATATTTTAATCTGTTCCCGACCAAATCAGAGGTGGGTAGGCTATGGCCACCCCCACTCTTTCCGCTGACACCGCTGTTCACGCGGGTCAACGAGCAATAATGCAGCATACATCATCAAACTGGTAAAGTTACGACTGGATAGTAACAAAGACACAGTTGAGAAAAGATGATATTTGATTGACATCGAAGTGTCCAAGGTAAAAAGTACATCCTACCTGATGCAGAGTAAATATTTGTATCGGCATTTCCAACGAGGTTTTCAGAAGACGACTTCAATGTTTGATAACCAAAACAAGTACCATCTAATGTGACCAAAGAAAGCAATATTTTGATTGATAGGCCTAACTTACTTTATAGTACACATGTGTTTAATCAAAATTTGTTAATTCTTAGTATTGTGTCGTATATATTGTAACGAAATTTCCCCCTGCGTTGTAACAGTCCTATGTGGCGGGGGTGGGACAATAGGTTTAATTAGTAGAATAGCCCTGAAAACCATTTTGATTGGTCCGTTAGTTGGATTGGCTGATAGTGTCCTTATACAGAGCTAGTCTGAATAGCCGAAAGGTCCACTGATTAATCTCAGATATGAAAGTATAATACATACTCCAAGTATTGAAATACACGCCATCGTGTTGGGATTATATTTCGACATTAATTATGTCATCATCAAGAATGAATAGGTCCGTCCCTTCTCCTCTCTTTGCTGCCAGCGTTACTGTTGCTCTCAAAATGCTGGGCTAGGCGTTTTTTTCTTTACTCGGGATGCTCCAAGAGAGGGAGAGACGGAAGGTCTGTTTTATGGACTTTATAATATTATAATACTATAGAGACTCGTACGTATTTCTAGTTGAACTGAGTTGAAGAGACATGTCTTTAAGTTCGTGTATTAACGTAACGCAGCACCAGCTGCACTGTGTGTGGTGAGTATCGATTTGATAATAGACCCAATAGGCTCGATTCTACGTTACAATATCTAATATTAAAGTAAAGTTATATAAACCGTATTTATTCGAATAAACGCCCCGGGGCGCATTGTTGAGAAGGTTTTTTGAGGGGGTGTTATTCGAGAGAGGCATTATTATTATTATCAAGGCCTTTAGGGATTTTTTTGTGTGTAAAAATTAAAAGGCTAGGTATATGTACTCAAATAAACGCCCCTTGATTTCACTGTAAATCTGGAACTACAACACATAATTACAGTTAGCCTATCATCAAATGTGTTATTGCATGTTCATAAAGTCATTGATCCCAACTAGGTTAAAAAATATATAATTTTACTAGAGTAGAATATACTAGAATGTGTTGATAAGATGTAGTTTCCATTAAAATAGTTCACGGTCATTTTATTCGAGGAAAAGATGAACGCCCAGGGCGTTTACTTGAGGGAGACATTTATTCCAAATGGGGGGTGGCGTTTATACAAAGTGGGAAGTTTTCGAATAAATACGGTACAAAGTCTCGGAAATGGAGGGCCAGCAGTAGCCGTGGTGATGCGTTACTTTTTGAAGTCGACTACTTCAAAAAACCCTTACATTTCACAATCAAGATATCAAAGTTTTAAATATTGTTTACATAGGCCTATATTTAAAGATAAGTTTTTTTTTTTACCGAATACCGGTATGTTGTTAATTGTTTGCCAGGTTCTTTTAATATTGTTTAAATTTGTTAGTATAGTGTTACTGGAAATGCTTAAATTAATCACCTCAGTTATGACCTATGTTATGTTATTGTTTTGCTTGCTCCCTCGGTTGCTGGACTCCAGCAACTAGTTTTTGCTTGTGAAGCTTTGCTAATGACTACGATACTATATTTAATGATAGGAAGCCTTCCTGTATGCGACTGTCCACCCACATGTAAATTAGAAGGCAATTCGATAACTAAACTCTTTGGCAATGAGCTTGTGCATGTTGAAAGCGGAATTTATCATTCTCACCTCAAATAGAAGTGATGAGGCAGATATTAAAAAGCAGTACATGTCTTTATGTATTAGGAGTAACTCTCTAAATCGTAAATTCCTAAAATGTTCTGTATATGTTAAGTGTTGCCTTTTTCGTTCATATTGCATCAATATGTATTGCGCTACCTTGGTGCGATTACCGGCAGATAAATACCGTATTAGATCTCTCAATGTTATAACAATGCATTACGTAGAATTCTTAAGCTTCCTGGCACTGTTATGCTAGCATGATGTATGTTAAACATGGTGTGCCATCTTTTAAATAGTATATGCGAAAATCAGTATATAGCTTCATGCAATGAATGCTGACCAGTAGCAGTACTCTAGTTATTTGTATGTAAACTGATGCTCTTGGATTCTAAGATGTATGACAGGTGAAGAAACCTCCTATATGTTTAACGGTTCAACTTGATTGAATATCCTTGGGGTATACCGGTCCATAGGACCTCAGTGGAGTCCCTACCCTGTTGTAGCAGTACTCTAGTTATTTGTATGTAAACTGATGCTCTTGGATTCTAAGATGTATGACAGGTGAAGAGACCTCCTATATGTTTAACGGTTCAACTTGATTGAATATCCTTGGGGTATACAGGACCTCAGTGGAGTAAAGACCCTACCCTGTTGATGCATAGTACAGTTAGGGTGGGATATGCGGGTCATTTGGACTTTAGTGGTGTAACGCCCCTACCCTGGTAATGCATAGTTCAGTTATGGTGGGGTATGCGGGTCATTAGGACCTTAGTGGAGTAACACCTCTACCCCAGTAAATGCATAGTTCGGTTAAGATGGGGTATGCGGGTCATTAGGAAATTAGAGGAGTAACGTCCCTACCCTGTTAATGCATTGTTCGGTTAGGATGGGATATGCCGATATTTAGGACGCTAGTGGATGGAGTAACGTTCCTACCACTGTAATGCACAGTTGGTTAGTGTGGGGTATGCGGGTTTTTGTATCTGATATTTCTTTTTGTCTTTCGTTATTTTATTGTTTTTTATGGATATGTGATTCTGAAATAAAATTTGAATGGAATTGAATTGAATAATGCTGTTTATATGATATTATCAATTGAGTGAGTATATTTCTGTAAGGTACGGTAGCTCTTTTTGTTATTTGTTTGGTGAATTCATGCTTTCCATAATTTTAATTCTTGTATTTATTGATTTTATTATTCCTTTATATATCCACGGTTTGTTACGTTTTCGTTTGTTTATTTTGGTTTTTGGCAGATAATATTGTATAATGAGGATAATTTTTCAATAGCGAAAATCTCATTTTACGCGCTCCGTTAGCAGACACAAACTGTAATTGGCCTGTTTTACCATTGTAGTCAAGGATGATATATGCCTACAAACTAGGTTCATCCTGCTTAGACTGTAAATAATTCCACACTTGATGCATGTGTATAGGCCTATTCCACGTTAAACTTGGAATGGTACCGTTATGCTTAGGAAAGTTAGGGAATCTAATCTTTACGTCTAGCCCCATCAAAGTCAGGCATTTACTAGACAATCACAGCGATTGCAACGCCGCACGCACGTCTTCTGTTATTCCACTGAAAGTTTTTGTCTGCTCGTGAAAACGAAAAATCCATTTAGTCCAACAGAATAATGTAGTTGCACTCTTAACAATTATGTAAAAAGATAGAGTTCGATGTACATAATCAACATTTTTAAGTTTGTGTCTCTTTGTGGGGTCGGTGATGAATTAGATCATGAATTGGGTAGTAAATCTGGAGGCTGCGATGTACAGCACTGCCTAGTTTAAATTGTGCATGAGCAAATGTTGCAGGCTAAAAAAGACCAGCTACTGTATATTCTGAAAGATAATTTGCTATAACTCTATCGTTGAGGGACAAGCAGCTTGATGGAATAAATACACGTAAAGGAAATGATAGTTGAGCGCACACGAGATGGCTACCACCAGACTAAACCAAATGTGTTATTTTGCTAACATACAGATTATGTGCAAGTTAAGAAATTAACTTTGTATAAGCTACGGCATCTCCTTAAATTTGGAAAATTTTGGCAAAAAAATAGAAAACAACAAGAAACTTCAAAGATATGGTATCATTTATACATTATCAGTTTAAATAGATTGAGCAAAGGTTTTGGCTTAACAACCGTTGTCAGGAATGCAAATAAAAACTATTGACATTATAATTATATTCTAAACAATAAGTTTATTTTTGTAAACGGAAAAGTATCTGTTATATTTGAATAAATTAAAAAAAAGTTTGTCTTTTGTTGTAACATATACCTATTAAGATCTCACCTGTGATGGGCGGGCATTTTCCTTCACTGATATATACATCATCAATCGCTAGAATTGTTTTATTTCCTGTGCTTCCATGGTCAACTTCCCCCTCAAACCTTATTTTGTTTGAAGAACTGCCGCTGATGAATTGTACACGACCATACTGCCACTCGGTGCCTAAGTAGTAGTACAACAGCATCAGGTACTTTCCATTAGAGCCGATATAATGCTTGACATATAAATGTTGATATGCCCCTCCAGTCATGTAGTAGTAGAATTCAATGCAACCATCACTCCAAGTAGATGGTATTATGGTACTATCTAAATATCCATACCGTTGCGAGTTACCAGAAGACGATTCAATATAGGAATAATACTCTGATAATTAAAAAAAACAAAAAACAAAAAGGACACGTTTCTTTATGTGTTAATTTACTGATATATCATTAGTGTACCAATCTAATAAAGCATTGTTGTATCAATCTAATAATAGAAATAAAGTATTATCAATATTATGATTATATTATAATAATAAATTTTGATATTTCGAATTAAATGAATAAAATAAAAAAGGCTATTAGGCCTAAAATAATACTCGATTAATTTAATGAATATTATATATACTGTATTTAAAATTAATACTATACTGATTTATTATTATTATTATATTGTAAATAATAATTATTGATAACAGATAATTTTTAAATAATATTGTTAATAATAATAATTGATTTAATGAATTGGTGGTATTTAAATTGTATCAATTTTGTTGTTATTGTAAATTATACTAAGTGTTTAAATAATTAAATTTGCTGTATATCTTCATTTAAATATAAATCATAAAATTTTCTAAAATCATATGTTTTTAAAGATTTTTCACTTTATGAACGTTTGTTGAAATTTTTCTTATTGGTTTTTGTGCCATCACTATTAGAATATGTTTTTATTATCCAACCTGCTATACGATTGCTATAAAGTGGATTGTGAAATGAAATGAAATAATGATGATAATGATAATAATAATAATACTTGTAAATTTATATAGCACATAGCCTAATGTACCGCTATACGCTTTTTACAATTATTAAACCATCGAGGTTTGGCTTAGTGGCTATGAATCCGACCCCCAAAGTAGAGGGTACTGGTACTGTACAGTACTGAGCTAGTGGTTATGATACCAGCCTAGCTATCTGGAGGTCGTGTGTTCGATTTCTACTTGAATCACTTGTGAGATTTTTTCGCGAGTATTGGGAACAACTGAGTATTCGGACAATAACACGTCAGATAGGACAGAACATCACGCCTATGAATCCTGACGCAACTCTATCGATAATGGTTTATTTGATTATAAATTTATTCATTGAAATAATACAAAGAATCTCTACACCTTGAAACATCCCGTGTGTAATATTAAATGCTACACAGAGGCTATAGTTAGATAACGGACCTACTTATTAATGGGTCCATGATGGTTAGAACTCAACTGATAACATTTTAATACTTCTCCGCCGTCAGCGTGTGGTAGTAGCAACTGCGCTCAACAGAGGGCGCTACATAGGATATCACATACCTGATGCAGAGTAACGATTTGTATCATCTCCAATGATTTTCTCGGAAGACCGCTTAAACGATTGATAACTAGAACTCGAATATGGATAAGGATTCCACCCACTCCATCCATCATCGAAGTCAGAATAAATTCCATCTAATTTAACAAAAGAAAAAAAATATTTTGAAGACTTTAATTTATGGTTTTAAAGAAATATTCATTAATTAGGATTGTTTCTTGGTTACGATATCTACTTGGCACAAGAGAACCCACAGTAAGGGCAAATAGAAAAATTATTAGATTATCACTCCCGCCTGCGTAAAAAAATCGGGAAATATTGATGTGGGAATTTAAAAAAAAATTTTTTTTTTGCCGCATCAATTATTTCAACAGCATAAAATAACGATGCAATTTTGTGAAGTCAAACAAATTTTCTTTAAAAAACTATAAAATTAAACCAGTTTTTATACAATATTTAGGCCTACTATTACAGACCAAATATAAACAGTCCCTCCCTCATCGATAAAAACAAAAGCGAAATAATCTATTGTTCCGATTAAAAAAAAAAAAAAACAAGACAAAAAACGACCTCCTTCATCAATTTTTTTTAAAGAGTGATAATCTAATAATTTTTTCTGTGCCCTAAAGACACCTCTAAAGTGTGAACGTTTTTTTTTTATCTTTCACATTATTCACATAAATCAAGCATTTAGTATTTACAATAAACATCAGAATACAAATAAGTTAGCAATATCATCTTAATCAACTGATGTGAAGAAAAAACATATTAAATACCTTCAAAGTGAATTACCTAAAACAAACTATTTGGCATTTTGATATTATTGACCTAACATTTTTTATTTAAATTTTTTAGTTGAACTTTTATGTTTTTCTAGTACTTACATTATTGACAGTAAGACAGTACTTTTGATTATTATTTTTTGTTTTTAATTACTCTTAATATCATTACCAAAGTTTGAACGTGCCTCAATGGGTGATAGGCGGATAACGTCTTGCTGCTATGACTGTGTTTTCAGGGAGAGCAGCTGCTTAAATTATACAGACACCAATATATGCTTATATCAGCGCAGTACTGTACACTAAAGTAGTTACATCCAGTTAACTTTGCTAAGCTTGGTTTACATAAAATCATACACTCTATCGCCAGCAGTTATCAGCGACTGTGTAGTTTTAATATTAATATGTTGCTCTCCTATAGAGAATGATGGCCAGAAGCTAATCAAAATCTCTTTTTTTCGGATCTTGTCCATATTGTCTTTCTTTCTTTGAATCTTCAGATCCTGATCTGAATTTCGTCAATACTGTTAAACAAGAAACTTTGAAGAGTATTTTTTTTTTAACATATGTTTTGTTTAGCAACCATTGTCAAGCGTACATACATAGTTCAGTGACGGATCCAACAGAGGGCGAAAGGAAAGCCCGATTATTTTACCGTTTACTAATTTTGAATTTTCTATTGATTGACAACGAACACAACGCTATCTCCCCGACGAATATATCAGGATGTAAAAAGGCCAAAAGGCGGAGACCTAAAGACAGAGTTTTTTTAGCCGGAATGTAGTACCCAACTATAGAACAGCTATCCATGCTCAGCATGGAGTAATTGCGAAAATCTGCAGGCCACCGACCCTTAGGGGCCCCTTTGATGCCCCTACCCTTAAGGGTCTAGGGTCTATGCTCTATATACCTCGCTTTGTTAATAACAGCATAATGTGTCTCTGACAGCGACTGTATGACATAGCCTATATTATATTAATCCAGTGATTGTAGGATGCCCAGCCGGCCAAGGCCACCCTACATTTGTCAAGTTTTTAAAAAAATGAGATAAAACATTCAAAATTAATTAAGTCTGAATGAATGCCATTTCCGGGCATCTAAAGGTGCCATAATCATAATTTGCTTTGCGACTACCCAGTATAGGTCCTTTGATCAGACCTTTCCGACGCCCGTCCGTGAGGGGAGGGGATGTCTAAGGGAGGAGGAGCACTAGCCTACGAGGGAGCATAACTGCCGCCGGGAGGAAGTACCGTAAATAATTTTGTCGAGAAAAACTGCTTTAATGCAAAAGAAATTTTACCGTCTGAGAGCAGGGACGTAACCAGGATTTTGAAAGGGGGGTGGGGAGCCGTTATGCGAATTACTTATGACCCCGGCGGGGTCAAGGGGCGGGGTCAAGGGGCGAATCCCCCTGTGAAGTAGCGCACTCTGAACGTTCTTAGGACTGTTTGAGAGGATAAAGTAAAAATTGCAATAGACGCATTATAAATAAGCGAAAAAATAATTATATAATAAATCAATAGTGGCAGATTCAGAAATTCGAAAGAGAGGTGAAACAGGGACTCAGGGAGGGACTTTCACAGACCGAGGAACCACCCACCTCAGCCCCACCATGGTTGGGGCTGACCTCAGCCCCACCATGGTTGGGGCTGAGGTAAGAAAATTTATGATTAGGGCATCTCAAGATGGCCGGAAATTACACTCTCGCACTTTAATTTGAATTTATTTTAAGGGGGAGGGGGTGTCTTGAATCCACCTCTGCTCAAAACATTCATTTATCTTTAGAATAGTCCTAATCACGAAAAATGGACACGAAAAACCAGATCACATCCTAAAAACAAACAGCAGTCACTAAGACATACATCAGGAGCCGACTCGATGGAGAGTAATGTCATACCCAGGGAAGGGCACAGATCTGCTTTGAAAGGTGGAGGGCATTTTGTGAGTCGACACCCACCCCAGCCCCACAATGGTTGGAGCTGAGGTGAGAAAATTTGTGGAAATAGTGCCTCTAGATGGCCAGAAATGACACTTTTAGTAAAATTCATCATCATCACATCACCATTAGTCAAAATGAAGCGCCAAAAAAAATTCTCATGATCTTTTATCAGGGATTTTTGACAACCATAGAGATCTTATTAATGTGTTTGTGTATACCATAGAAAACAAAGCTTAAAAACATTGTCTTTGAGTATGTACTTTACATATGCCTACTTCAAAAACGTGATTCCACAACCACCTCAGCCCCACCATGGCTGGGGCTGAGGTGAGAAAATTTAAGGAAATAGTACCTCTCGAGATGACACTTTTATATAGTAAAATTCATCATCATCACATTACCATTATAGTCAAAATCAAACGCCAACAAATTTCTCATGATCTTTATCAGGGATCTACTTAATATCCAGGACAACTTAGGCCTTATTATAGCTTACTAAGCTTTAACTATATACTACCGTATATTATGATCAACAAATCAACTATTTTTTGCATTTAGCACAATTTTCTTCACTTTTTATTGTTATTAATATTAATATAAATTATTACTATGGTCATCATCATCATTGTTATTATTATTATTACTATTAGTAGTAGTATTATTAAACAAACATGATC